TCAATGCTGTAGTGCCTATTTGGGTGTAATAGCTAGAAGTATTGTGAACACGCAAGCAACCTTGATAGGCACTGAGGTGATATTACTTTAACTTATTGTGTGTGTGTGTGTGTGTGTAAGATGAGATTGTGCATGGTAGCTGCAAGAAAATGCAACATTGCAAAAAGGTGAAGGTGCCATGAAAAATGAAGGAGCATGATGCATCAGCGTGAGAGAACCGCTACCCTACGCTAGCCATATTTCAGTTTGAAGTAATTCAAAATTTTTAGATTATCATCCAAATATCCAGAAAAAAGAGTGGTCTTTTTTTTGGTCTGCTTTAATGAGATTTTCATTTTTTTTATCTGCGTATAATCCAAAGACGCTGCCAAATTATTCTGTTCTCATGTTATGTTTATTAGGATTGGACACATTAATTCAACACAAACTTTTTCATAACTAAAAACAATCTTAGAGTTATACTGATGTTGTTTTATACATTGAATGAATTACTTTTTGTAACCTGATTAATCCAAACCCACCTGTAGTATACTGTAGGGTCTTCACTGTTGTATACCACCCACATCCAATGAAGCCTGAGTATGTGACCACAGGTGAATCCTAGTTTCATTCTCATCAATTGGCACTCCCTTGTCCTCTAATGTAACCTCTTGTGAAAATGGCTCTACACCAACATATTAGATTAACTTGGATCATCAATTTGATATTTAGGCTGATATCTTGTTAGAAATGTAAACTAGGAGAGGGTATAAAATCAGATCAAAACTGCTGACAGACCATTCTGAGAAATCAGGCATTTTTAGTTCCTTTTTACGGTAATATTGAAGGTTTCAACAAATGTAATAATAGGTTGCATCTAATACAGACTTCTTTTTCTTTGGGTGATGTTATACTGGTTCAATTATTTTTCCACATGGTGCTGAATACTATGGTAGCCTGTTAGTGGGCCAACTTTTGCAATAAGTTTCGTATTATCCTAGTACGCACCAAAACAATGTCAAGGCAATTTGGCAGGTCCGTATACCTCATGCATTCTAGCCACATTAACCTTTACGTAAATAAGACACAATTCCTGTTTATATGGCAACAACAGCTCTAATGGCTTAACTTCTGTCAAACTGGGACCATATAGTGATTATCTGTAACTGAAATTGGGACCTTTCATATGCCAATTTGAACACTTTTATGCTTTCCCTGAAATGAATAGCTGTCCTCTTTTCTATCTCTGTATAGGAATTAGGTCAACCCATCCGAGTATGTCTCTAGAATTGAGAGCATGAGTATGAATATATTCCTTTTGTTGTCCAACCTTTGCATTGACATGTTTTACTTGCATGGGTGTAGTACATAGTAATATTGTATAATATTGATTAGTCTAAGCTTTTTCCCATATTGTGTTTGCTACTGTGCCTTAAATTCCATGTGTCATGCGAAGTTTTGAAAAGCGAAGCAAATCATTCAGCTGTTGTTGGAGATACAAGAAAGTGTGACCTTGAGTTCAAAAGGGCTTCTTGTTTGGGCACATTTGGTTTAAAGCTTAGATCTTACTAAGTAATCTTGACCATGATATAGAATGTTGGGACTCTATTCTAATATAGATAGTGTTTGAAACAAAAGTGTTGACCATACTTTTTTTTCGATGGTCAGTATTGACCATATTGCATAATAATAATTAACTTATTTAAAATATTCTAAGGCCTTACATCTTTTGCTCGTATTACTAGTCATGTGTACTACATGAGCGGGGATGCATGGAAGGAGGGAGGCATTGATGCAACTGGTATGTCTATTGCTGTTTTGTACATCAAATAGTTAAGTTAGCGTTTGCTGTGCAGTTTTCTGAAGCATTGCTGATACACATATGAAATAATGCATAAAAAAAGTTTTCATGGTTTTCAAACCCCCATAGTTATATGAGAAAATTTCTTATTTAACGCTGAAAGATGACTTGGTTCCTTATTTGACACTGAAAGAAAATATTTCCTAAATGACACTGAGTTTATTTTTGGTGCCCAATTTGACACTCTGTTCACTTCTGTAGTGCTTGCTGTTAGATTAATCACAGAAGGACGAAAATGCCCTTGCCCAAAAACATGGATGGAACATATCCCAGTTCGGTTTCCTGAAGAAACACTCATTTGACTTCTCCCTCGTTCTCTATCTCATCCCCTTCCATGTCTCTCAAGCTCCCCAAACCCTAGACCGGATCTAGTGCTTGAAGGCAGTTGGCGGGACATCGGAGGGGCTTAGGGGCTTCGGCGGTGGCAGCCCTTGTGGCATGGCCGGCCAGGGCAGGGGGAGCCCCATGGCTGGCTGTGCCCATGGCGAGCTGCGCCCCATGGCCGGCGGCGAGTAGAGCGGCTCGGACAGGGATTTCTTGGCCAAACTGATAATCAGGAAGGAAGCGTGCTGCGAAGCAACTATGTGAGTACTCTGGGAAATAAATTAAAGCCTGTACATGCTGGTATATGTGTGTTGTTTAATTGTCCAACACATTTTGCTAATAAAGCACACACACATGCAAGGATGTGAGAGTTAATTGATATATGGTGTGGCGTGGCGTGCCATTTAACAGTTCCGTTCCATGGTCAATTATGCAGGCAGCAGATGAGAAAATCGTCTCCTAGACTACAGGTAACAAGGATGAAAATTAGTGGGTAGTATCGTGTACTTTGGAACCACTTTATTCGAAGACATCACAAAATTTATTGATTACAAAAATGATGCTGCCCCAAAAAATCATCATAAAAAATATAGAACACAACAAATCTACCGTAACGTGCTGCTGCGAAAGCTCATGATCTGCTGCTGTGAAATCTCAAGGTGCTGCACAACCACATCAAGGGCAAAAATTTCCGCCGGCTGTTAACAGTGTTAGAAGCCAAAACTAATGGCAGGGTCGAATTGGGCACCAAAAATAAAGTTAGTGTCATATAAGGGTGTAGAGAATTAGGAAACACCTGACACCCCCCTTTTTTTTTGGGGGGTTCATATATATAGTCAAGTACAACTTGGAATACAAGTAACATGATATACATGTGTTAGACTATACATATCTCTAATACCTGTCCGCAGTCATAGCGGGAGGAAACTAGACGCAGAGACTAGACCTTAGTCATAATGTCCGCAAACAAATGAGCTGAGGGAACATGGAGTACTATGAACTACCCCAAAGCCACCCTCTCACGAACAAAGTGAATGTCAATCTCAGTATGCTTCGTGCGACGATGATGAATCGGATTGGCAGTCATATAGACTGCACTGACATTGTCGCAATAGACAATGGTCGCCGAAGGGATCGAGATATGAAGCTCCTCAAGCAACTGGCGCAGCCAGCAACACTCAGCAACTGCGTGGGCAACAGCTCAGTACTCTGCCTCCGCACGACCGAGACATCGTGGTCTGCCATTTTGAAGACCAGGAAACCAGGTTGTCCCCGAGTATGAAGCAGTAGCCTGATGTATAGCGCCGAGAGTCTGGACATCCAGCCCAATCGGCGTCGGAGTATGCCGTGATGGATGAGACATTGCCAATGCCGAGGTGCAGACTGGCGTCGAGGGCAGTGGCGGAGCCTCATAGAGGCGATACTGGGCTGCTGCCTCCCCTCAATTTTTGAACACCATGTTTACCAGCTGCTAATTTGTTTCAGTTACTGACTTACAGCGTTAAAAGAAACTTGCTTGCAGCGTTCGCAGAGAAGTACTAATCACCCAATTCAAACGAAACAAGCTTCTTAGAGCAACTCCAAGAGAGTTGCTATTCCTAATATGGAGTTTGGTTTAGCCTATTTGCAACATAAAATGGCCTCCAACAGATATTCTATTCGAGATTGTAAAATACCCAGTCATGTATCCCGGCTTTCTCGGTGGGTAAACAGATATTCTATTCGAGATTGTAAAATACCCATTGTATCCATCTTTTTCGCTGCTAGTTGCGCCATTCCATCACGCTTTCGCTAGCGCTGATTCCGTCTTGTATTGGCGAGCCCATGATGAGCCTAGGTGCCGTTCATGGCCTGATGGGCCTCGGTACCATGCAAGAGATCAACCTGATATTGTGATGACGTGTCGATTACAAATATAGAGAAGGGCAAATTTTAGATAGGCTGTTGTAGTACTCTATTGTTTTGGCGAGTTTTCTATTTTAGATATTGGCTAAATCATAGAATTTGACATCTATTTTTACATCGACTCTTGGAGTTGCTCTTATATAACTGTAGCTAGCTAGTCATTATTCGGAAGGGCGGGCCTGGTGCAAGCGGTAGAGTCTTACCGCCTGTGACCGGAAGGTCTCGGGTTTGAGTCGCGGTCTCCTCGCATTGCACAGGCGAGGGTAAGGCTTGCCACTAACACCCTTCCCCAGAGCGGGAGCTCTCTGCACTGGGTATGCCCCCCTATATTAGAGATATGTAGAGTCTAACAAATGTATATCATGTTACTTGTACTCCAAGTTGTACTTGACTATATATATATATGAAAGCCACCCACCCCCACCCCCACCCGCACCCCCACCCCAAAAAAAAAGTTGTGAGGTGTTTCCTAATAATTCTCTAAGTATGCCTCTTCATGCACGACCCGCGGGAGCTGCATCTTGCTCTGATCAAGCGCATTCTGCGCTATGTGAAGGGCACCCTCGACCAGCGGCAGAGCGTGAAGTAAAATAAAGGAGGGGCGAATAATCACTAGCTAAAGAAAAAGGACGTACCCAGTGCAGAGAGCTCCCGCTCTGTGCGGGGTCTAGGGAAGGGTGTCAGTGGCAAGCCTTACCCTCGCCTGTGCAATGCGAGGAGACCGCGACTCAAACCCGAGACCTTCCGGTCACAGGCGGTAAGACTCTACCGCTTGCACCAGGCCCGCCCTTCATATCTCTAATATAGGGGAAGATTTATATTTTAGGGTCAAATAAGGAACCAAGTCATCTTTCAGTGTCAAATAAGGAACCAGGTTAATCATGGATGGATTTCAATTCATTTCATTGTATTATCCTGCTGATAGTTAACAATGTTGCGTAAGGATTTTTGTTATCACCAGATAGTTGATAGCAGTGCTCATTTTTGTAAGAGGCAAAGGCAAGGAATATTTCATACTGCTCATTTTCTAGAAGCGTAGGCATAGTGCTAAAATGGTGGCTATATAGAGGCAAAGGCAAGGATAGTTGTAACAACATAACTGAATGGAAGCAAGCACATGTTCCTTCATTTTGGCTTTAGTCAACTTGTTCTTTATGTTTGTATCTACAAAGTTTTCTTTGTTCCAAGGAAAAATAGCATACCCTGTTACATTATAGTGACCTTCCAGAATTTAATTTGTTTGTGCAATGCAATGCAGGCGCTTTAATGGTTTTAACGCTGAAAGTCATTTCGTGCGCAATAAACTACAGTGATGGTATCTTGAAGGAAGAGGGTTTACGCGATGCTCAGAAAAAATACCGACTGACTAAGCTTCCTTCTCTAATTGAATATTTTGGGTATTGTCTCTGTTGTGGGAGCCACTTTGCTGGACCGGTATATGAGATGAAAGATTATCTTGAATGGACTGAAGGGAAAGGAGTAAGTGTCCTTCAACTACTATGTGTGGGTTATGGTATCCTTTTCCTCTTTCTGATATTCGTTAATCTTTTGCAGATATGGGCTAGCCCAACTCCTTCCCCATTGTTACCTACTTTGTGTGCTCTAGTTCAGGCTGGTATATGCATGGGGTTATATTTATACCTGTCACCTAAATTTCCACTCTCACGGTTTAGTGAGCCCCTATATTATGAATGGGGTTTCTGGCACCGACTCTTCTATCAGTACATGTCAGGCTTTACTGCTCGTTGGAAATATTACTTTATATGGTCAATTTCTGAAGCCTCAATTATCATATCTGGTCTGGGCTTTACTGGTTGGTCGGAAATTTCTCCTCCAAAAGCCAAATGGGATCGTGCAAAAAATGTTGATGTATTAGGTGTTGAATTAGCTGGAAGTGCAGTTCAATTGCCCCTTGTGTGGAATATTCAAGTGAGCACATGGCTACGATACTGTAAGTTCTGTCTCTTGATAAAGACATTACATCACCGCTTTGTTGAATGATAGAATGATCTTTTTAAACTGAATTAAATCTGTCTGCGTGGAAGTGCTTTAATCCCTATCCCCCACCTAAGATTAAAAAGCATAATCTCAAAGGAATTGAGAGTTTGATTTGCATCAAACTGGTATACATGATTGCCTCTATCTGTGAACAATGATTTGTGCAGCTTTGTTTGGGAGATAATATAAAAACTACTTGTTTATTGATAACTGTAACTAAGTTCTGTACACCTGGAAGAATTATGCTACACGAGAGCCACTACTGAAACAGTGGATTTTCCTTAAATTTATTCAGACTACAGTTTATTATTCATTACATAAGACTGACTACTTCTATGGTTCCACAACTGTTTCAGATGTCTATGAGAGGCTAATTCAGCAAGGAAAGAAACCAGGTTTCCTTCAGTTGTTGGGTACACAGACAGTCAGTGCCATCTGGCATGTGAGTTATATAAAATATATTTCTGACTTCTGATTTATTTATTTTTGGTGATTGTAGCTTGTACTTTTTGTCATGTTGTAGAGCAACCTGATGTTAGTTGGACCAGTAGTTCCTAGTTAAGCTAGAAGATTGCTCTAGGAAATTAGTACTGCTATTGTTCTGGTGCCTTAAGCAAGGTTATCAAGTCGTCTGACTAATTGCGATTAGTCACTATTAGTCTGGCTTATCGGTGCCATGGCAATCAATTACGCACTATGATTAGTCCCAATTAGTTGCAATTAGTCAGGCTAATCGGTGCCATGGCGTCTAGGGCAGGTTAGACTATTTGAAAATAGGCCTTAAGTGCCTTAGTATCCACCTTCCCAAGTAGAGTTCACATGTGAAAATTGTAAATTGCTTGTTACTCATTGGTCATGAACTTGTTTGACTCCTAGGGGTGTGTTTGGTCTGAGGAACTACCCCCATTCCTGAATCCTGATGAGGTGGTCCATCATGAGTTCATCCAATGAGTTTTGGTGGAATGACTATGACTCATGCTTAACTCCCTCTATGCTAGTTCATTTACTTTGTCCTAATAATGTCAGCTATTGTTGACTGGAGGGAGTACTAATTATATCGAGGGAGTACTAATTGTATCGTGTGAGGGATGAGGTGGTGCCGTGGTGGTGGATGTGGACCAACCCATTCCATTTCACAAACCAAACAGAAAAAATAAGGAGTGAGAAGATGATGGACCTCCCCATTCCTTTTACTAGACACCCCTTAAGTGTATTTAACATCCTCTCTTAATGGCATTCTTATTCCATCAGCTTGTCTTGTGATTGACACTTTGCATAAATTTACCCACACTGATTTGTCCTTTCATCTGATCTTTTCATTCTGCAGGGACTGTATCCTGGATATATCTTTTTCTTTGTTCAGTCAGCATTGATGATAAATGGTTCACGAGGTACCTCTATCGATCATGGTTTCTTTTAATGAACTGCTACCCTCTTACTGTTAGGTTTGCTGTGTCCAGTGGCGGAGTGCGTTAAAGTGTGTGTGTGGTGGGGGGTGGGGTGGGGGTGCATTTCATGCTAATTAACAGCTATAAGTCTAGAGTGCTGCATTATCTAAGGCTAAATCTAACTGTATTGAACAAACAATCAGCGTGAGAAGCAGACTACCTTGCATACATACTAGCAGTCCACCCAGCAACCATGGGCTGGTGAAGTGATGAGCTACCGTGCTGAAACGGTGAGCAATTGAGATGGTGGACGTTCATGTCTGCTAGCCCTTGTAGCCATGCAAATTTCAGCAGCTTTTGGGTAGGCATGCAGTAGCAAGTGCCATGAGCTCTTACCTTTCTCACGATCAGGAGGGAGGGGCAGGTTGGCCTTAAGGCAGCTCTGCCAGTGGCTGCGGCTAAGCTATTTTTTCTGAGCTTGTTTGGATAAAATGGCTTTTTTTTTTAAAAAAAAGGCATACCTAGCGTAGAGATCTCCCGCTCTGTGTGGGGTCTGGGGAAGGGTGTCACTGGCAAGCCTTACCCTCGCATGTGCAATGCGAGGAGACCGCGACTCGAACCCGGGACTTTCCGGTCACAGGCGGTAAGACTCTACCGCTTGCACCAGGCCCGCCCTTCATAAAATGGCTTTTTAACTTGTAATTTGTTTTTTTCCTTTTCTTCCAATACAGTTATATACAGATGGCAGCAAGCAGTGAGCAGTTCATTCCTCCGCGGTATCCTGGCTTTTCTAAATTTTGCTTATACATTGCTGGTGCTTAACTACTCCTGCATCGGGTTCCAGGTCAGTGTCAAGCCTGTGTCAAGCTCTTCTTTATTTTGTATCATGTTGGGAGTCACGGAACACGATGGTGCTTCTCTATATGAATTTTCAGCAAAAGTTTCTTGCATAAATTTTGACCTGATGTCCTCAAGGTCCTTTTCTCTGAAACAATGAAGTTCCCAGAGCATCTGTAGTTCCATGTATACTTTGCCTATATAGATGATGGGATGGTCGTTACCACAGGGAGGGGGGACATGTTAAGAAATATGGATACCACTGTTAAATAATGCTGTGTTTAATGGAGTTTTAGTTTCACGTGTCGTAATGAAAAAACTTGGTACCTACTGCCTCCACTAGAATGAGGAATACATGTCTCAATTCCTTTCCGGTAACACTGTGATACTTAATATGAACTCATTTTTGTTCTCTGAAGGTACTGAGCTTCAAAGAAACCCTGGCATCCTACCAGAGCGTATATTATGTTGGCACAATTGTTCCCATTGTGTGTATCCTGCTGGGCAATGTTATCAAGCCAGCAAGGAAAGCAAAGGCTCGGAAGACCGAGTGAGGAAATATACACTCAAGTGACAATTACATAGAAGAAAAATGGAGAAGCTTCAACGAAGATAACGACATTCTAGTTTTCAGTTTATTTATCTGTCTTTTCGTACCGTATCAAAGTTAGCATAAGGATAATGTGGTGACCCCAGTTCTCCTACCACGGAACTCAGATTGCGATTGACCAATCATTAAAACGTGGCATAACTACTGGGGTTTCCTTACTTAATGACTACTCATACGTGTGTGCGAATGATTTTGTCCTAACGAGCCTTTTGCTATTGTGTTCCCATCTGCATGCCTGGACGCCTTCCCACCTGGAGCTTTATTCTTTGGACTGGGAAGATCTGTTCACAGTAAGTGATATCCATGAACAAATGGATGCAGACAGGAGCGAGGATACAAAATCATCGAATTGCTCAGGCACATCGCACATGCTGTGTTTTTTTTCCTCTCCAAATTGAGCATGCTGAAAGTCAAATTTTGCTGGGAATCTCAGTTTCCACTCCAGGATTCACTTCATCACGCCAGCTTTGTGTGTTTGGATTCAGGGAGGTGTTACATGGGTGTCACATCCAGTGTTCGGATAGTAATAATAAAAAAAATTAGTAATCCACGAGACGAATTTATTAAGACTAATTAATCCGTCACTTAGCATATGTTTACTGTAGAGACGAATTTATTAAGACTAATTAATATATCATTTAGTACATGTTTACTGTAGCACCATATTGTCAAATCATAGACTAATTAGGCTTAATAGATTCGTCTCGTAAATTAGTCTCAATCTATGCATTTAGTTTCGTAATTAGTCTATATTTAATACTCTAAATTAGTGTCTAAATATCCGATGTGATAGGGACTAAAAATTAAGAGGGGAAACCATGGTTCCCCTACTAAAATTTAGTCTCTGTCACATCGAATGTTTAGACACTAATTTAGAGTATTAAACGTAGACTAATTACAAAACTAATTGCACAGATTAAGACTGATTTACTAGACGAATCTATTAAGCCTAATTAGACTCATGTTTAGTCTTTCTAATTGGTATCTAAATACTCGATGTGACATCTACTATTCTTCTTATATATATGCTCCTTTTGCGGCGTGGTTTATGAGCATCAGAATTTGATCTCAGATTGCTGTTATGAACCACCAGGAACTTGATGGAGGTGTGAATGCCCATGATCCTCTACCACCTTCACTTTCGATCGTGGTAGTAGACTAGTAGCTTTTTCGCAAAAAAAAGTAGACTAGTACAGTAAGCTCCCAGAACTGAGCATCCGTGTTCTGACTCCAACATCGCACCGCAGCTCGCTTTGAATTTGAATGCAGTTTTGGGTGCGGTGGTAGCTGAAGTTTGAAGTCGTGGCATCGAGATGAAGATGATGCGCGCTTGGTCATAAGACCAGGGCCTTATTTAGATTGCCTCAAAATTTTAAGTTTTTTCACTCTTTCTTTATCATATCAATTTTTAGACCAGTGATTAACTAATTATACAATTTGGTCATAAATCAAATCTTTTAAGGTGCTCAAACAAAGTTTATCAAATACAAACAAAACGTACTACAATGTCCAAATTACAAAAATTTGCAATCTAAACAAGTCCTATGAACCGACGAGCTCGACGTCCAGTGTTTATGGGTCATATAAATGGTGCTTCTGCTGGACTGCTGCTGCAGCGGTATACGCCTGTGTGGCCCGGTCCAACCCAACGTGCGGCAGAGGCGGTGGCGTCGCTTCGTTTGTTCTGGGTCATGGCCTATTATACCAATACGTGGACGCTGACTCGTCCGAGATGCTCCGTCGGTGCTCGGGCGCACCAGAACGACTTTGTAGAAGGGACGTGGCAATGGCATGGGCTACCGTGTGTTGTGGGTAAAGGGTGAATGGCGACGCGACGCGACGCTGATGCGGCGGGTTGTGGGTTTGACCCGGTCACGACCGTGACAGGCTTCTCCACTGATGATGAATCACTGATCCATATATCATGCGCTATATATAGGTGCCACTCGGCGAGACGGCGACAAGGACGCCAACAAAGATCACCAAGAACGCTGAAGGTATACCAGCCGGTCAACCTTTTCTTTCCAGATAGAGAATGTGCGGGTCAAACAGCCCAGCCGACGACGCTTTTGGGCCTGTTCGCTTGAACCTATCAGCTGGCTTATCAGCTAGAATCTACGATACTTTTCTCTCACAACAAAACAGATTTAGCCGGTTTTAATATCAACCGAACAAGCCCTTTCTCCGCACGGTCGGGTTGGACTTGGAATCGCCACTCCCAGCTCCCAAGACAACTCAACTCACTCACTTAAGGCCTTTATCGGACGTATGTGTATTTACTCCAATCCACATGTGTTAAAGTGGAATAGAATAAAACTTAGTTTAATCCCGTTTCAATCCACTTCATCATTTGTAGATTGAGATGAATACGTACGCTTAACACGCTTAACACGGAGAACCTTAGTCCACCGCTGTCTTTTCACTGTTCCTGTCGGGCTGCACTAGCTCACGCCCGTGTGCTTGTCAAGTGTCAACGTTTGCAGCCACAGCCACGGCCACGGCCGGGCTCGGAAGAGAGGACCGTCCATACTGGTCGCTTTCGTTGGTCTCTGATTGCAACGCGGCTTGTTCGCACCATCGCCGCCCGCGCGCGGCCGTCCGTCTCGCGCTCCGTGCCGCGCACGCGCCTCCACCCCGGCGGCGGTCGTCCCACTCGGTGACCCGTCCAGGGCGCTGCACTGCACGGGGATGGGCGTGCCAGCGAACAGAGCGCGGCAACCACACCCACACCACACGAGAGGCGAGGCGGCCGGGGCCGCTCCGAGTCCGCGCGCCCATGCCCTGGGCGCGACACTTGCAGCCTTGATCGCTGCGGGACTAGTAGCTCCGTTCGAAATCATACAGAATACCTCCATACCTCACTATTGCTGGTCAGCGCAGAGAACAGTTTTATGGACGCACAGCACCAGCGCCACTCAACGTCTGAACCAACTCGCATGCATGGACGGCTAGCTAGCGAGACAGCGACCGGACAACCTGAACTTTTGCCACGATACGCGCCCAGCCGTCGATGAGCATTGATCAAGCGACTTTCGCCCAGCCCTTTGGACACGACGATAAACGGACACTAGGCAAAGGGACCAGGCACAGCCTTATCACTTATCAGACCTCACTAGTTCGTGCTGCATGGAGAATGCGTCTACTATTGCAGTACTCCTGCAAGTGCCACAGGCCACAGCATGCATGCAAACGCAATGCGAGCAGCGGTCCGCAGCTTTCCCAGGCTCATCAGGCGTCGTAACTCATCAGAGACACTGTCTGGAGTAGTACACATCAGAGCAGAGAGTTTTAGCCAACTGCACGCAGGCGGCCCCGTCTTCCCTTCTGACGCCACCGCATGCTCCCCACAGTCGCATCAACAGGCAACAGGACTACAGGAGCGACGACTAGCGAGCGAGAGGCGCTGCCGAGTGCGGAGTGGCAGCAGGATGCTCCACTGTTCCACTCCCACGCCCACAGGAACACAGGTGGTCATGAGACTGTCTCCAACAAGGAGGTTCGAATGGGCACCCAAACCTAAAAAGAGTAACGGAGATTTAAAATCAGTCTCCAACAGACTATGTATACGGAAGATCTATCTTAAGTTGCTTGATAGACACAACATAAATATAAGCATTCTCTCTTCTGAAAACCTATTTGTAGAAATGATTCTCTTTTAAGTTCTATTGTTAGAGAAGATATCGAATAGTTATTGAACCCTTTAACTATAGCGCTATCAAAGATTAAATGTGTGTTGTATTTTGGGTCTCGTCGATGGAGATAGTCTCTGGGCAGGCAAACGCTGCATGCGAGCAACCGAGAGGCGCGGTGCGCGTCCGCGTGCGCTATTGTTAGGATACGAACTAGAGAGGGCCCTCAGCAGTAGAGAGGCCCCGCGCGCGTGGCGTAGCCCGGTAGCCGAACACGGTACACGTTTGCAGCCTGCAGCAGGAGCAGGGGCGGCTTTCACGGCGGGCCTTTGCCTTTTGCGCCGTGTGCAATGCACCGCGCGGCCGCGGCGCAAGCGTACGTCCCACTGGCAGCCAGCGCTGAATCGCTGATCGATCGAGAGCTGCTGGTCCTTTGCGTCTCTCTCAAGCCTGCCCCGCTTGGGTCTCTCTCAAGCCACAGGCTCCCGCTGTGATCTGGTTTCTACTTTCTACAGCCCACCGATCGATCCGTGAATATATATACTAGGAGTACTTTTAATTTATCCCCGTCAGCAATCACTGAAAACGTACGGCAGCCACAGGCTTGTGGCGTTGCCGATTTTAATTTTCCTATGGTATATGATGCTATCGTCGGCTCGTCTTGTTCGGTCCTCGTGTTTAGCGTGAAGTATACTGAAATGCATAGTGTCAGTTATAATTAAGTTAGGATCACAACGCAATTAATGGCAGCATCGTTTCACGATACAAATAGAGTTAAGAGTATGTAGCTCATATATATGCTTCCAGTACCTCCATTTAATTTCATACATAGCAGCTCTTGATAAGTAAAACCAGGTTGAATTGTACGCATGCTTGTGAGACCAAGTGACTGACCGCGGCACTTGTTCCTAGTTTGTAGCCCTAGCTCACCGTACGTGCGTGCAAATCTGTTGAAGCTATCGATCGTTTCCCACTTTCCCTTCGTTCTACAAGTCATTTGCCGACATGTGCAATCGTCGTCTGTCTCTACATGCAAAGACTTCGTACCACGTGGAGGAAAAACATGCATTGAACGGTTTTTTTATTTGACCGGCCGTGAGTCATCAATAATTTCCAGGTGCAATCTGCAGCTCTGGGGCATCGCATTCGCATGCATGGTGGGACGTCAAAATTTTCTTGCATTGCGCGTGCATGCATGCATAAGCATAAGCGTAATATATAGCATATATATAACATAGGACACACATTCACACGTATGTGCCCATTCTCTCTCTCTCTCTCTCTCTCTCTCTCTCTCTCTCTCTCTCTCCTCTAATAATCTGTATCGACGACGGCACGTAAAACAAAATGTCACTATCACACGTGAATCATACTCGTTGTAGTAGTAGTTAAGGAGTTAGTAGAATCAATATGATATAGCCTATGCTCACATATATAACACACTAAAAGGGTTCCGATATTTCTTCGAGTGGACGTCCATCGACTCCCATGTTGCCACATGCATGTAATCTGGAAATTAAATGAGCAGGCCTGCAGCCGGCCGAAACGAACCTAGCTGCAAAATCTTACTTGGCCGGCCACAAGCTCTATCAAACTACTCCGTACTAGTGATGCCGCCAGGCCGGTTGCCGGCCCGGCCAGTTCAGATAACGAAAGCGACATGGATGCAGTGCATATAAAGTATATGTGTCAAAAAGGAAGCGAAAGAAACCCTAGCTAGCGCCCACACGATAAGCTCATGCGTGCTAATTTAGCAGCACCTGCGTCATGTATGATGCAATCATTTATACGAGGTAGAAGAATCGAACTCACGTTTTCGGTCTGCCAAATGCAAGCTTTCCTGGCCGTTCGTATATCCAAACGGTCTCAGGGGAGGAATCAGACAAACTGGGATGAAGAGAAGTCAAAAGACACAAATATATAATTTCAAATGCAAACGGCCGGCAACGCCCCCATCTGACTTATTACAAATTAAAGACCCTAACGCTAATGGAGACTCCATATTTAGTCTCACAAATAATATGGAGACTCCATATAATTCTAAAAAATCACATTTATATTTAGACTAATATGGACAACAAACTCCTCCAGATTGTAGTTCACGATTCGATTAGTTGAAGCATCGGCTAAGTCAGACTATAATTAGATAAGTTTTGTGTCTAATCAAAATTGCATCAATAACTTTAGTGGCGTAAATCTCTATTTTTCAAGGAAGAGATGAACGGTTCAACTGTTCATAATATTATTATATCTATTGTTTGTTTTTAATATTATATGATAGAAAAGAAAAAAAGGAATGAAAAAAAAACAATAGGAAGTTAACGACAAATCGGATAAGGTAAAGCGGACGAAGAAAAAAAAATCAAATACAAAGAAACTTCTCTACGCTAATAAGAAAACAGGAGAACAAAATAAAAAGGACCAAAATCCAAAAACTCTTCATGTTTGATATTAGGGTAAGATTTGCCTGATTTTTATTTTTATCCTTTTCTATTTGAATTAGAATTCTTATTCTATCCTTTTCTATTTGAATTAGGATTTCTATTTAGGTTACTGAGAATCGAAGGGATCTATTTGATTAATATTCGTAGCTATCCATGTTACCTTAATAACCCACGTTCAAGATGTGCATATATCATATAAAATGGGAGGGTTGTAGACATATGAATAGAGACATATAAAACAGGAGTATTATATAGATAGATGAATAGAGACAATTTCCATATTCACGAAGTTAGTTAGAGAGGCCATACCCCAAAAAAATGAGAAGAATTTTTTGGCTCTTTAATATGAGGTATAGTATATATAGATAGATTTTTATCTCTCCTGTTACAATGCACAGGTACAATTAGTCTTTTTTATCTTTAGAAATTCTGAATATCCACCCTCTAAATTCTGAGCTTGCCCTTACCAAAAGGCAATTAATACAATCAACCACATGCACTAGGTATAAGAGGAACTTGCATCTTACGACCTCGCTGGAGCATACGCGACCAACGAATATCAGAGTTTTGCCCGCGGTAATGGTGACGGCAAACGCGCGCCATCAACAGCACAAGCATTCAAGCAGAGGCGGCGCTTTTGGTGCATGGCACAGCGCACACAGGAACGGCGCATGCAAGTCCGGCACTGTGCGTCAGTCGTCCGCATCGCAGCAGCTGAAACTAGCTTATCTATATTAAATTAAACGTCATTAAGCTGGCCGGGAATTCGATACCGACAAATGCATAGCCAAGAAACAACAAGAACTCCATTGTACCCTTGTTGTCACGTACGAATTCGTCTTGTTTGAGCCAAAAATCCAACGCAGGTGCTCCAAGAAAGTCCACTCGTAGACTCCCCATGGGCGTTTGTAAGCTAGCATTGTGTTAGCTATTTTTATGCAAAGTGCGTAGATGCCGTGGTGATGCCCTACTATGTGGTGTTACTGCGCTAGTAGTATACTATGTAGAAGCATGGGCCATCTAGCTCGATCAACATGTGAAATTGTGATTAGATGAGTATATATATGTCTGTTAATTAACTCTACAAACGACGCCTGCATGGATCGCGCAGAGAATCCGTTTCTGACAGAAGAGGACGAAACACTCTCCGCGTAGCCCAAAAAATTCTCGATTGATGCTCATCTATAATACGGCCACACTTGCTCCTCCAATGACCCATTACTCCATTAGCTAGATGCATGGCCGAGGCGTGCATATGCTCACGCATCTGGTAGACCGGGTGGAGACCAGTGCAGGGATTGTAATTTTCTCTTCTAATACTGTATCATTTTGCTTGTTTATCGATGCTATTCTGGAGAAATTCCTTTGCATAAAACTATTTGGTCTCCCTCACGCGTCTTCCTTTTTTCCCACCCCTATATATCCCGGGGTTACACAATTTCTATCGAGCCCAAATCAAAGGTTACCTTTTAGTTTTCTCTTGGTGAGCTCCATTGTTTGATAAAACCATTGTGCAAGTGTCCCACAAATTGTTCATTTCCATGATCCACTTGTAACTTTAGTTATGGAGCATCTTGTAAATTCTCTTGTGGATTTGTAATTAGTTTTTTTTGCTCTAAAACAAACCCGGATTTAACCCATGCATGCTAAAGCCATTGTTGCCTCAAGCAGTGTTGGCCGGTTTTGTCATCGTGGCAATATCCATAAGTGCTTCAAGCCTTCTCAAAAATACTATGAATCCACCCCTTACTGAGTTGCGCTAGTGAGTTGTTGATCTCAAGTTTACTACCCATCCAATGCAACTCTACCACATTTGTTTTCTCCTGTGACTTGCTTCTCATGAAGGAAAAGCTGAACAATATCCATTGCAATGCTTGGGAGCTTGTCATGCATGCAATCGGAGAATCGATGGACTAATTATTGTATGCAAGGTATCAAAAGTTAATATATTTGTCATGAGTTCCTCATAATGTCGAACCTATTTCTTGTCCCCTATGTCATCATTATGAAGCCATTTGAAATTGACACATTGTGTTTGGTTTGTTTCTCTTGCAACCAGGTATATGTCGATGAAAAAACTTTCTAGCCAACAACATAGGAAAAGAGCTATTCGGCGAGTTTTGAGTTTTGGAGAGAGAGGATACGCTAAGATGGCAAGACATAGAGCACCAGGAGAAGGAGAGGTATGAGGATTGGGAGTGCTTCGATAATTTTATATGGTGTCTAGTTTGTATATCGTCTCTTGTGCATGCAAGTGATCTCTATTCTTTGTCATTGGATTTTTTTTATTTTTCTTAATTAATTTTTGTTACCATAGCAAACTATATTTGTAATATTGATCGAATTTTAACCAAAAAAATTAATTTCCATATTTATTCTATTATGTTGGGTTATTTTTTCCCTATATACCTTTGCTATAGGCTTATGGATCTGGACTATTACATTTTGGATCTATAAGATCACGGTGGTAGTTTTTAACCCTTATGAGGGTAATAAATTAATTTTTTAACTTTACTTATTGTATTATTACACTGACCTTTTATTATTTATTTTTAAAACATGTGGAAATTGAAACAATTTTTTTAATTTTAAAATTTGAATTTAGCTATTTAGTAACAATAGTTCTGTAGATACTATTTATTTAGTTCTTTATTCTCAATTCACTTGGAGATCAACTATTTTTACATACTTTCACATTGACTCTTTATTTATACTTTTCTTCCGATCTCGACATAAAATTCAACGTCGTAGTTTTTTTCTTTATTTTTTCAATTATACGATAAATGTTGTAGCTCAATTTAACAATATTATATACTCCCATATTCTAAATTGTAAGAAGTTTTGACTTTTCTAAATACAAAGACTTTGCTATGTATTTACACTATGTTTAGATATATAGTAAAAATAATATATCTGAAAAAGAAAAACGTTTTATATTTTGGAAACTGAGTGAGTAGCAAGATAATATATAAGATATCCCGGTGCTCGAACCTAGCCACCCACATCACATCTGACGGATCGACCAGGCGGGTCAAAAAAATTGCCACCCATGTGAACCAAGCACAAAGAGCATTCTTATTTATGCTATATGCCATATTGCCATTTGCATAATGTGCTTATAAAAGAGGATGAAAGGCTTAAATTTACTCCTTGCGCTGATATGTATATATTATTTATGATACACATGCCGTAATCGAATCTGCTCACCTCGGCACGCACCAGGCACCAACAGCTGCCAAGCGAGTAGTGAGCAACGACTAACGATTCCACACCCTCTACCCCGAGCCACAGGGAAGCTGGCGAGCATAATTTGTGAGCAATATATAAACCCTCATGGAGGATTTTGCTTTTTTTTTAAAAAAAAATCATTCAGTAGGTTGAGCAATTGCCTCGTGGGTGATTTGTTTTTTTTAAACTCATCGTGGGGGGTTGTTGGGAGTGAAAAGCAGTGGCCTGGTGAAAACAAAGAGAAAGACGAGCCGAGCCTGCTGTTGTTGAACGCTGAACGCCTGAACCTGAATTTTCGAGGTCGTCGCGTAGCAGCCAAAAAAGCAGCGACAGCGACAGGAGCGCGCCCGTGCGTGGGCACCCCGCCGGCGCCGGAGCCCAGCCTTCCTTCTCCTTCCTATATAAACCCTCGCCCACCTATCCCCCATGCAGCACCACGGCACTCCATCTCGCCAACCACGCATAAATTATTCGCTTCTCTTTGTCACTACAGTCGCCTCCGCGCCGGAGACAGCGCGCTAGCCTGCACGTTTCGGGACTCGCGCAGCGGCAGTCGTCGGCTCCCGGGACGTCCAGTCCCTCTCTCCCTCCGAGACGCACGTAGAGCGGAGCGTTCCTCTGTTTCGGGCATGTCGTCTTGCGCCGGCGCCACGGTGGCGTTCCGGGATGCCGCCGGTGCCGGCGAGGAGGCCCTCACCGCCTCTCTGCTCTCCAAAGCCGAGGTCCGGCTACCGGTGGAGGACCTGCCGCCGGTGCTCACGAGCAAGCCGCCAGGCCGGTTCGCCAGGGCGGTGAAGGAAGCCTGGTCCGTCTCGCTGTCCGTCACATTCCCCATGATGCCGTCGATGTCAGCCGGCGCGGCGGGCGCGGAGGCGCGGTCCATCCTGGGCCTCGCGCTGCCGATGATCCTCACGGGCCTGCTCCTGTACCTCCGCTCCATGATCTCGATGCTCTTCCTCGGTCGCCTCGGCGGGCTGGCGCTCGCGGGCGGCTCCCTCGCCATCGGCTTCGCCAACATCACGGGATACTCCGTGCTGTCCGGGCTCGCCATGGGCATGGAGCCCATCTGCGGGCAGGCCTTCGGCGCGGGCCATTACGAACTCCTCGGCGTCACCACGCAGCGCGCCGTGCTGATGCTGCTCGCGGCCGCCGTGCCCATCGGCGGTCTGTGGGTGCACATCCGGCCTCTGCTCCTGCTCTGCGGCCAGGACGCCAGCATCGCCGCGGTCGCCGAGACATACATCATTGCCTCCCTACCGGACCTACTCCTCCAGGCGTTCCTCCACCCCGTCCGCATCTACCTGCGGACGCAGTCCATCAACCTGCCGCTCACCCTGTGCGCCGCGCTCGCCATTGCGCTCCACCTCCCCATCAACTACGTGCTCGTCTCCGTCCTCGGCCTCGGCATCAGCGGGGTGGCATTGGCCTCCGTACTCGCCAACCTGAACCTCCTCCTCTTCCTCTTCGCTTACATCCTCTTCAAGGGCGTCCACGAGCGCACCGGCGGCTTCGCGCTCTCGGCCGAGAGCTTCTGTGGGTGGGGCGAGCTCGTCAGCCTCGCCCTGCCGAGCTGCGTCAGCGTCTGCCTCGAGTGGTGGTGGTACGAGATCATGATCCTCCTGTGCGGCCTGCTCGCGAACCCGCAGGCAACGGTGGCCAGCATGGGCATCCTCATCCAGACCACGTCACTCATCTACATCTTCCCGTCCTCGCTCGGCTTGGGCGTCTCGACGCGCGTCAGCAACGAGCTCGGCGCGAACCGGCCCGACCACGCGGGCCGCGCTGCCACGGTCGGCCTCATGCTCGGGTTCGCGTTCGGTGGCGTGGCGTCCGCGTTCGCGTACCTCGTGCGCGGCGCGTGGGCGACCATGTTCACGGCCGACCCGGCGATCGTCGCGCTCACCGCGTCCGTGCTGCCCATCCTGGGCGCTTGCGAGCTCGGTAACTGCCCGCAGACCACCGGCTGCGGCGTGCTGCGGGGCAGCGCGCGGCCCAAGGACGCCGCCAGCATCAACCTCCGGTCCTTCTACCTGGTGGGCACACCCGTGGCGCTTGTCCTCGCCTTCTGGTACCACTACGACTTCCAGGGTCTGTGGCTGGGCCTCCTCGCGGCGCAGGCGACCTGCCTGGTGCGCATGCTGCTGGTGATCGGGCGGACAGATTGGGCCGCCGAGGCCAAGCGCGCGCAGCGGCTCACCGGAGCAGGCACGGAAGGGGAGACCAAAGAGGGCAGCGGCAAGGGCAGTCGTGTCATTGAAGTCGCAGCAGCCGGCGAAGACGAGGAGCTGGGCTTGGCGATTGGCCAAAGGATCAGCGCTGACATTCAACTGCGTGCCGTTCGACAATTCGAGACATTTTTTGTCATATAATTTTTGGCGGGAGGGAGAGGAACCAGAGGCTGACAGAGTGACTATTTTATTTCGAATTGGTTATTTGTAAATGATTTCTTTCTGAATATTGACAAGAAATATGAGAAACCTATACTTCTTATTCACATATGGGCTCGTTGGGTTAGACTCGATCCTAGTAGGGAATTATTCCTGGTGAGTACTTGCTATATAAATCACACAAAGTATTCCGGGTAGAAATGGTTTCTAAGGCGTCATTCCCTGGAACCGAACGGTGCCTAAGGCTAGTTTGGAAACTCAAACCCCATTGGGATTTTAGACTTTTATAGGGACAGCCAATTCGTAAAAATATCATTTTAATTAGCCACTTAGTTCTTCATAGGGGTTTTTCATCTTTGTGTTTGTCCCTTAACTCCAAATCAAGCCTTATATTATATATCCAAAAAGCATGAGCCCCGTGAGCTAGTACGTGGTCTAGGATTTTGGTTCGAACCAAGCATGTCACGACCTGCTTGTTCTCGTGCTGGTGCATGACGAGCCATGCCATGTGCCTTGCTTAGGTTCGTTGGGCGGCACGACACGACCCGACTAAGTGGCAACCCGAGAGCAGTCCTTTAGCCTCGCCCCATAAATAACCTCTGGTCCCCATAAAATAAAGCCCAACTTATCCTTTTTCAACTACCGACATCGCCTCCTCTGCATCTCAGCTCTATCTTTACCTTCTCCTCCTCCAACACCCACCACTCTAGGGGCTTCTCCACCATCCCCTCCTACTTCATTGGCAGTTAGGCCCTAGCCAGGACGTGGAGGCAGAGGCAACGTTGCTCCAAGATGTTAGCACTGCTGCTCGCCCCACAACAGCAACAGAAGACAAAGCCGGTGCGTCTGACGGTGGCCCCAGGCGTGGAAGCAGAGCAAGGAAGCCGAACGCCCGTTTTGACGCCGGACCTGGGTGCGTGGTTGAGCGCGTGTGCGCTGGCGAGGCAGAGCTTCTGTAACTACTTAAGGCAGAGTTGCGTGTGAGAGGGGTATCGATATTGTAACAAACCAAATTCTGCTATCTACTAAGAACTCATCCGAACCCAATTCCCGTGCTTCTCTTGCTTTCCTTTCCCTACTCCTTCCAATTTCCCTTCCCTAATTCTATCTGATCTGGTTCCGCTGTTAACAAGTGGTATCGGAGACACCGATCCTTGGAATCTCCGATCGACGGCGAGCACCATCATCCCATCGGTCGATCCATCCAACTGATCCGGTTGGTCTAACCCTTCGCCTAGTCTGTGAGCTGCACCTAGTGTCGGGATTCCGTAATTCCCTTCTCAGATTGGATCGATTTGTGGCGTGTGCTCCCCGATCTGGATTCCCAGGAACTCGCCGATCACGAGCACTTCACCAGGCTTCAGCGTCGACAAGGAGCCATGAATCCGGAGATGAAGCTATTGCTGGAGGAGATCGACAAGCACTTCGTCGCCCAGGATCGCCGTTTCGATGACCTGAAGGGCCAGATCGCGGCGAACGCAGACGCGTCCACCACCCGCCTTCACGTGCTAGAGGACGCCATTCATGTGTTCAACGAATGGCGGCCCAGTGTTGATGGGGTCGTGGATGATCTGCGGTTGGAGGTCAGCAAGCTGACCAAGCTTAAGGAGGAAGTCGGTCGCCTCTTGAAGCGCTGGGATTGCGTCGTCGTGGACGCGTCCGTCTCGGGCCCCGGGGTGTTCGCTCCTGTGCCGCCTTCCCCGAAAACACTCAATCTCGGCCTCGGGGTGTTCGCCCCTGCGCCGCCTTCCCCGAGGACGCTCAACCTCGATGGCCACAACGGCTCTCCTATCGACAACAAGGTGGTCGTCCACACTCCGGTTGGGCAACCAATCGTTACGCCCAATGGGCACCACATCGAACAACGGACCCGGGCGGCAAGGGTACGCTGCCTCGCCACCCCTCTTCCTCTGTTCCTCCTGATTTTCATCAATTGCGTCCGCCACCTGCACCTAATCGTCCATGTGAGTTGGGTTTGCATGGTAGTAGTAGTGGGGGTCATACGGGCAAGCTTCTGAAACTAGATTTTCCTTCGTTTGATGGCGAGAACCCCAAATTGTGGCTCAAAAACCGTGAGGACTACTTTGATCTCTATTCTGTCGAGTCTCCAATATGGCTTAAGGTTGCCACTATGCACTTCCTTCGTCGGATGCTGGCCGTTGGAAGCAGTCCGTCGAAGATGAACTCCCATCAATGACCTGGCCTTCCTTTCGTACCCTCTTGTTGGAGTGTTTTGGGCGTGATGAACATGAGATCTTAGTTCATAAACTCTTTCAGATCAGGCAAACCAACACTGTTTCTGAGTACATCACCCAGTTCACTACTCTAATCGATCAGCTCAAAGCTTATGCTAAACATCCTGACCTAATCTATTATGTCCAGCGTTTCATAGAGGGTTTACATGATGACATAAAAGCTGTTGTTCTGTTACACCATCCTACTTCTTTGGATACTGCTTGTGTCCTTGCGCGTTTGTAGGAGGAGGTCACTACCTCCCGGAGGCCATTTTGCTGTCTGGATGGACAACAACCGCTCAAGTTTCCACCGGCTGGGGCTCTTCCTCTACCGCCACCACCACTCAAGCCGGCGGCCGGTGTGGAGAACCGTCCTATCGAGCCTCTGAAGATGACTACTGCAGAAGACAAGTATCAAGCTCTGCGTGAGAATCGTCGTGCTCAAGGCTTATGTTTCAAGTGTGGTGCAAAGTGGTTCCGTGGCCACAAGTGTGCTCCTATGATTCATATTAATGTGGTGCAGGAGCTTCATGATTTGTTTTAGTCTTCTGATGACAATGTTGATGCTCAGTCTGTCAAGTCAGCGCCTGAACATCAGTTGATGCTTCATTTGTCAACTGTAGTTGTAACTGGGGGTCTAAGCTCGAAGACTATGTGCTTGCTGGGGTCCCTGTAGGGTCATCCTATATCTATATTGGTGGATAGTGGGAGTTCACACACTTTCCTCAGTGCCAGGCTCAGTTCCTTGCTTCAAGGAGTCACTCCTCTGTTATCACCATTTTAGGTTCAGGTTGCAAATGGGGCAGTGCTTTCCTGTTCTTCTTACATTCCTCAAGCTTAGTGATCTGTGCAGGGGTGTACCTTTGTTACTGACCTCAAGATTCTTCCACTGCCTTCACATGATATGATACTAGGGCTCAATTGGCTACACTCCTTCAGTCCAATGCAAATCCATTGGCAACAACATTGGTTATCCATTCCTTATGAAGGCCGGTCTGTGATTCTCAGTGGTGTGGACGTGGCTCTTCCTGTGGGCACTATTCTGCAGTTGTCTGAAGTCCAACCTGAGAATGATATTGTGGAGTTGCCTGATCTGCCACCAGAGTTGGTTCAGTTGCTCTAGGAATTCGATCACCTTTTCCAACCACCAACGGAGTTGCCTCCCTCACGTGCTTGTGATCACTCTATTCCTTTGATTGAAGGTGCTTCCCCAGTGTTCATCAGGCCTTATCGTTATTCTCCTATCCTGAAGACTAAAATCAAAAAACAGGTTCAGGAAATGCTTCAACAAGGTTTAATTCAAAAGAGTACTAGTCCATTCTCTTCGTCAGTCATCTTGGTTAAGAAAAAGGATAACACATGGCATTTCTGTGTCGATTATCATCACCTCAATGCTATAACAGTGAAGGGCAAGTTTCATGTACCCATCATTGATGAATTGCTTGATGAGTTGGCCGAGGCATCTTGGTTTATGAGCTTGAACCTACGTGCTAGCTTTCATCATATCCGGATGCAGTCAGGAGATGTCGATGAAATCTAGTCGGCAGTCTACCGAGGGGTATACCCACGGTAGTAGATGATCGGTGGAGGTGCGCGTAATAGGAACCGGATGGTGACACAAGGCGCAGAGACATCGGTTTAGACAGGTTCAGGCCGTCTGATCGACGTAATACCCTACGTCCTGTGTCTTTGGTTGATTGTATTGAATATGAGATGAATTCGAGGGGGTCCCTGCCCGCCTTATATAGTCTGGGGGTAGGGTTACAAGTCAGTTTAGGCCTAGTCTATTCGGTTATATAGTAAGTATTTATAAGGAATATGATATCTATCATATCCGAAAAGATCTTCCTTTATCGTCAAGATGTTTTTCTGATTGCCTTGCGGTGCACGCCGACCATAACTGGGCACCGTAGGCCTTGAGATTATGGGCTGGGCCTCCCCTGGGGTGTGGCCCATGTCCATTGCCGTGGGTACCTGGGGATATACCCCCCACAGCTTATCCCCGAGCACCTTATATCCACTGAGCAACGCCGTCTTGAGCAAGTTCGAGCAGTTTAACTTGGAGTCAGCCAACAAATCTGGTAATCTGACCAGTTTAACTGGTAATCCAATCAACAAAATGAAGTGCCGACCAGTTTAACTAGTAATCCAACCGGTGGAAATTGAAGCCAACCAATTTATCAGGTGACCTGATCTCGGACTTAGCCAAGTAAGGCTTGCCAGAAGGATGTAAGGAGCTCAAGTTTAAAATTTAAAAAATTCTCCACCTTAGGAGAAGTGTACACACTTAGGCTTCGTTGACGAAGTCAGATGATCATCATTCATGACTTATGCAAAGAGGATATTAGTACTGATATATGTGCCGCAAGGTGCAATATATATATTGTAGTCCCTGAGCCTGACAATAGGTGAAGAATGTCCTTGGTGTCAGGATCAAAGAATATCAGCGACTGAAAAACAAAAACCAGAACTTAGCCAACCATTAAATTTGATACAAGCACCGCTAGGTGCAATGTATACATTGTAGTCCCCGAGCCTGACAGTAGGTGAAGAATGCCCCTGGTGTCAGGATCAAAGAATATCAACGATCACTTAGTCAAAACAACCAATTCCCAGCTTAGCCGAGCACACAGCCAGTCCTTAGCTTAGCTGAAAAACCAGTAAGAAGAAAAACAATACATTCACCGCAAGGTGAAGTGTACACACATAGTCCCCGAGCCTACTATAAGATAGAAAACATCTTGTAGC